CTGGCAGGAACGAGACGAAGTGAAGTAATATATATATATATACAATATGTTTCTGTATGTATGTGTGTCGCTAGTGATTATAGTAGTAGGCTTGATTCTTTTCTTACCCCGCTTCTTTTGTGTTCTTTTTTACTCCGGCACCCACAAAAAAAAAAAAAAAAAGAACAATAAATAATAATAAAAAAAAAACGATTAGACTTGCCATATTTTTGCGCGCGCCAATTGTTATTATTATTATTGTGAATGTTGGGAGTATTTCTCTGTTTCTTTTATCGTGGACATGATGGAAGTGGGGCGGTGCCACGTAGAAGGTGAAGGAGGGGAATAACTCTTATACACTTAAAAATTCACAAAAGGAACGGTGGAAAATAATATTGCCCCCTGTGTTTTATCTTACTGTTGTACCTTCCTCACTTGTTTCTTTGTGCAATGATTTATGCCTTTTTTTTTTGCGCGTTGTGAACGACTTTCGCGGGTCTCTTTATTTTCTTTTTGTTATCTCTTTATTATTATTTGAGGGCCTGCCCTTCAGCTCTCCCAGGGCAAACACGCGTTGGCGGCTGCCTGCAAGGGTCGCAGGGGGAGGGATCGGTGTGGAAAGGATTATTGTAGATACAAGGAGCACACACAAAAAAAATATTTAGTATGGAGGAGGGCTATTCCGGAAACGAAGTGGCGGCAGGTATGTGTGCTGTGGGGTCCTCACTTCCGACAAGATCGCTGCCACTCGACCCACCGCATTCTTCTTGCGCGCCGTCCCCGGTGGGACGCTCCGCCACTGTGATTGGTGGCGCAGTAATACGCAGCCCCATGGCAATGACGTCTCCCGCCGCACATACGACATCTATTGCTGCTGCTGCTGCTTCTTCGGCGGCGGGGCGAGCAATGGAGAGCGCTTCTCCGGTGTCTACCACAACCGCCGCGGAGTATGTGGAAATCGAACAGAAGCAGGCGGAGTTGAGGAGTGTTGTAGAACATCGTATTATGACGCTTGAGCGATCACTAAAGCGTCGTGAAGAAGAAATAGAAACGCTGAAAATGCAGCTACGTAAAACTGAGGAGGACTATCAGTTTAACTATGAGCTCATCAAGGACCGTGATGCGGCGTTGGAGGAGGCTGCGACGCAGCTTCAAGTTTTATACGACGAGTTGAAGCGCCGCAAGTCGGAGGAGTTAAAATTATCCAAGCGTTTGGAGGGGTTTGAGAAGGAGACACACCATTTACGGCAAAGACTTCGAGAGACTGAGGTGGAACGCGAACAGACTGTGCAGCGCGTTCAGCAGATGCATCAACAGAAAGAAAGACAACTAAAGGAGGCTTTTGGCCAAAAAGAGACGGCACTAGAGGCGGAGAAGCAGCGTCTACATGAAGAGTACTTAAAAAGATTTAAAGCAATGGATGACATCCGGGAAGAGACGGCGGATAAGAGTGAGGCGCTGGCGAAAGAATTAGAAGCGAAATGGGGTCAACAAGTGAGGGGTTTAGAGGAGAAACTAGTTGCATCCACCAAAGTGATGGATGCCGTACAAAGTGAGAAGGCGGCCATTGAGTCTCGTTACTCAGAAGCATCTCAGGCATTGTCTCTACTGAAGCATGAAAATGAGTCACTCCAACAGCAGCATCAAGTTTTTGTGGTGGAGGCTGCTGAAAAACAACGTGAGTTGGAGGCGAAATTGAATGAGTACAATGCCGTTATGGGACAAGGCATTGCCACCGCTGAGGACAGTATCCGTCAGCAGACACGGCGAGCCAACATGTTAGAGGTAGAGTGCGGCCAACTACAGTCGCAAGTAACGGAGCTACAAGAGCGGCTGCAGGCGTCACGAATACAGAGAGATGACGATACAAAACGTCTCATGGAGGAGAGTAATAAAATGCGAGAGAATTACCGCCAAGCAGAGACGCAGATGGAAGAGCGACGCCGGAATTGGGCAGACAGAGAGCGTCAATTAACTCTGCAGTTGCAGCGGCTGCAAGAAGAGCTTGAAGATGCAAGAAAGAAAGGCGACACAGCAGTTAGTCGTATGGGCGAGTTACAGGCTCGTTATGAGGTCTCCCAAGAAGAACGGGCCCGGTGCGAACAGGAAATCGAACGTTTTCGTCGGGATCTTCAGCGCTGTCGTGAGGAGGAGCAGCGCACTGCGGCGCACGCGCAAGAAGTGCAGCGTACTGCAGAAGAAAAGATTCGTAACGCCGGTCGTGAGGTGGAGGTTGCACAGGAGGAGGTGGAGCGACTGAAGAAACGTCTATTTGAGGCACAAGAACGGTCCCAGTCAGAGGCAGCACGACTAACGCGAGAGTTACACGCTAGCGAGGCGGCGCGTCAAGCCCTCGAGGAGCATTTCCACCTTGCAGAGGACGCCAACGGGCAGCGGGCGCTTATCGAGAACCTGCGCCGCGAGAAGGAAGCACTGGAGCGAAGGGTATTGGAGCTGGAGCAAACAAATGCGGCGATACGAGATCAAGTAGCCTCCTTCACTATGGAGCTACAAAACGACCCCGTTGTAAAGTCTGCGAAGGAGACGCAGCGCCGAGTACAAGAGTTACAAGAGCAATTATTGCAAGCCCGTGAGGATATTCAGCGTCTGCGCGACACTCTCCGTGCGAAAGAGGAAGAGTTGTCGCGTTACCAGTTGGAGATACTGCGTGCGCGCTCTGCGGAGACGGCGGTTTTGCATCAGCGGGATCAGGAGGACCAACGCCTTCGTGAGGAGTACCAAAGTGCAAAGGAGGCCTATGAAAGTATGCGAAAAGCGCTCAGGGATCAAAAACACCAAAAACAGCAGCAGCGAAGCAGAGTATCGCCTGGAAAACCAGCGACACTAAATCAGAAAAGTGGCAGTGATGATGACGATAGGAGGGATAGGCACCGAAGTGGTGTGAAAAAAGTTTCCTGTGGGGCCGAGAGGGATCCCGTTTCGATGCGGGAGGCGGAATTGTGGCGGCGGAAGTATCTGCAGCTGGAGCAAAATCTTCGTGATCTCCTTCGGGAACGTGATGGCTTGGCAAGGGAGCTGCAACTTACGCGTCAGGATGTCGACGCATTGACAAGCGAGAAACAATCCCTTGTCGATCTGAACTCCCTGTTGAAGGCTCAGTTAAGGGAGGCGTACCGGACCGCATTAGAATACCCACAGCTGACGCTACGACCGCCAACACCAGAACAACATCAGCATCAAGGGGGGCAAAAACAACAGCCAGCCATTGTTCCAATGCAGACTGATACAAATTTAGAATCTGGGAAAAAAGCGGTGCAAGATTCATCCCAACCAGTGCCTTCGCTCGCTGTAGATGCTTTCTTCCGGGGTGTTTCGGCCCCACAGTCCTCCGTCGATGCAGAACGTCTTTCTGCCTTGGAAGTGGAGCTGGCAGCGATGAAGGCAAGTATGCTGAACCATCGTCAGAGTTTTACACGTGCCTCTCGATCTGGCGGGGGAGGTGCCGTTGCCGCCTCCAAAGATCGGGACACCCGAAGGCAGTTGCAACAGCAACAACAGCAGCAGAAGCCACAAAAGAATACTCCCCAGACTGCGTCGATGAGTCGATCTCTCAGTCGGAGTGGCGCGCCGTTGGTTCACCGAGGTTCCTCCGTAGTGCGTCACTACGGCTACATGTAAACGCACTCATGCTCATTCTCCTTTTTAACTGCTTCTTATTGTTATTTCTTTGTATATATATATACAAAACAACACTCTTGCAGTTTATTTTTCTTATTCGGGGGTATATATTTAGATGTTGTTTTGGTGACCGTATCTTTGAGATTGCTGTTTTTCTTTGGGAGTGTACCGGACTGTGCTTGCATCTCTTCACGCTCTTTCAGATTGGTGTGGAATATAAGTGGGGGTACTGGTCTGATCCATAGGGGAAAAGTAAGAACGAGAATCAAGGGTGTGACGCACACGTACGCAGAAGACGGGGAAGCAAAGAAGCAAATTTGCAGAGAGAAGTGAAGGAAAAATCACAAAGGGAATAGAATACGAAAAAAAAAAAAATCAAAACAGAAGGAAATAGAAGCAGCCGGGAAAAAAAAAGGGATTAGCGTAACGCTCGGTGAGGTTCAACAGGATGGGGGCAAACAGCTCGCGTGAGCGACGCTCTCAGCGTCGTAGTCAAAGCAACGCGGTGACACCTCCAGCCAACATGCCTCCACACCTAGCAAACCAGTACAGCAACCGACGTCAAATGCCAAACAATGGCAACAATGTGCCAACAGCGCCAAATTACGATGCATCGCGGCCAGCGCCAACACTCCCACCACCACCACCACCAGCAGCAGCACAGCAGCAGCAGCAGCAGCCTTCTTCTCCTTCTGGAAACGCCGACAATAATAACTCGGCGAATAACAATCAACGGGGTGTTCAGGAGGGACAAATTGTAAAGATGTTGGCAACTATTGATGCCTCTTCAGTGGATTACGATCCAACTATGCAGCGACTCAAGTTTCGCGTTACAAGCGTCTGCCCTTTTTTGTCATACGAAATTCATACCGGTGTGAAGGAATACATCAGAGGGGGAGAGGTTTTTTATATGCCAAACAAGCCCAAAATGGAGCCGCCGCGTCTCACGCTTGAAGGGCCACAGGAAAATAAGGAGATCAATGTGCATATTGATGTGTCCAAGTTAGAGGAAAAAGAGCGTGTCTATAACAAACATTACCCCAAGCAGCAGCCGTGTGTCATTGTTTTGCGTTACCGTATAAAGGAATTACGTAAGCAGGAGAATAGCAGCGCAAATGCCTCTCCAGTTGAGGAGATTGTGGAGCACACGGAACACACCGCGGTGGATCTTGCTGAAAACCCAAAGAGGCGGGTAATCAGTCAGATTATTACTGCTGGGGGTTCAGCGTATGTGGTAGAAGACTTATTTGGAGTGGATGGAGATAGCCCGGGTGCGGCTAATGGCAATCCGGAGGTGATGCTCGGAACCACCATTGTGCCTCATGAAGGCGAGGAAGATGAGGATGGATTGTGTGTTATTTGTCTGACCGTCCCAAAGGACACCGCAGTCATGCCATGTCGTCATATGTGTCTTTGCAAGGGTTGTGCAGAGGAGTTGATGCGTCACACACCCAAATGTCCTGTATGTCGAGGCTTCGTTTCGACACTTCTCCATATGCCGTCGATAAATGGCAACAGCCCTGCATGAACAAGGCGTCTGCCGTGATGAAATTTCTTCAAAGAGTTTGCCTGGTAAACCAAAAGTCTAAGGTGTGGGTTATGCAAAAAGGAAAAAAAAAGGAAAAAAAAAAAGATGAAAACGAATAAAATGGCAGAAATACATCATAAAGAAAAAAAAGGACAACATTGAAGAGATTGATGGTGAGATGGGTTAGGGTGGAATGGTTTCTCAGTAAAGTGGGCTCACTGTGCGGTGGAGATGCGCCTACCTGAAGGAACATGAGGAGGGCAGCTGAAAGGAACGACGACACTCTAAAATCCTGGAGAAGAGCAAAAAAAAAGGAAAAAAGAATCAGGCAACGCGGTACGTCCTGCACGCCCTTTCATTGACTGCGTCGTGGAAATTTTGAATAAATGAGCGGGTAGGCAGCAATCCGGATGGTGTGGTGCTGGGGAGGAGGAGGGATGGAAGAATGGCGTTTCTGAATATGTTGGTTTCTCCTTCTGTCTGCTCTTTTTTTGTGTGTTCCAGCGTCTTTTCCACATCACCTCTTCTGAGCGTGCTTTCGTTCCTCAGTATGCACGGTTTTTATCTAAGTACGATGCGTCACCGGGCAACTTTGATCGCCGTAACCAGATGTGGCTATTATCCGGCCTTTTTTCTCATATATAACATATAGTATATATATATATACATGTATGTGTGTGGGTGTGTGGGCTGCTCCATGCTTTCCATCGCGTTTTTCTGCCGAATGTTGATTTATATGCCATCCCGTCGTCTTTTTTTTTTTTTTTTTTGTCATCATCACAAAACGCAAAAACGCGTTGTTAGGAACAACATAAGAGGAAAATAATTATATACATTTGTATATACATACATACATATATATATGTAGGGAAACAGCAAAGGAAAGAGAAACATATGAACACGAGTGGCGACTTTTACTTTTTGTTGGATGGGAATGCATTGTTTTCCACTTTTGGGACTCTGCTTTTCTCTTTTTTTACCTCTTACTTTTTTTTTAAAGAAATCGTTTTTTTTTTTTTTTACTATTCCTTTTATGTTGATTTAATTGGTGCATTATTTGTTTTTGTTTGCGTGTTTTTTTTTTTTTTCTTATTGATTCTATGGCTTTTGCTGCTGGGGCGAAGAAAAACAACAACAACAAAAAAGAACGGCGGGGCTGTGAGAGGAAGCTAGATAATGAGAGGATGGAGTAGTGTGTTCCAAAAGTTAAATTTTTTCTTGTTTGTTTTTCTTTGTGCGTGTTTGCGTGTTCCATTGTGCACTCGCGACCTGAAGGCGCCCCGTTGGCGGTGATTGGGGACAAAAAAACAACAACAACAACAGCGACAGACGTTGGCGTATCTATCTACCTATCTTTCTATATAAACACAGTTATACACTGCTGAGGGGAAATGGGAAGAGTGTGGTGGTGGTTTCTCTCGTTGTGATGCTCTTTTTAATTGTTTTTCTTTTCTTTTTTTGTTATTTTTGGTGCAAAGGCTTAGGGTGACGGGCTGTTGGTAGTGTTGCTCGAGAAGTGGGTTTTTGCGAGGGGTAGTGATGGCGAACGACTCGTGCCCAAACTGCTGCGCCGTCCTCTCCCTAATGGGCATTGTTCTTCTTCTTCTGTTTGGCGGCATGTTCCGTGCGCGTGCGGTTTCATTTCATATTACGAGCGTAGAAAATGGCTGGGATATCGACGAGAAGGCTCGTGCGTGTTTTAACGGGGCCATCTTTTACGGAATCACCCTTTTTATTTCAGTTGTGGCACGCATTTATACCCGGCGTAGCCAGGCTGCAAAGCAGGCGCTTTTAGAGGCAGAGCGACTACGTGAGAGTATCGAGCTGCGTGTTAAATAAAGCAGCTGGAGGGGGTTCACATCTTCTATTTTTTTTTTGTTTTGTTTTCTTGACTCTTTTCCCTTTTTTGGGTGAGTTCTCGTTTTATTATTATTATTATTATTATGAGGGCCGGAGAAGAGAAGAGGGGACGGGATTTAGTCGGAATGGGGGATTTGAGCTTAATGGTGTTCACGCGGTACATTATTCGTCTTTTAAAGGCAGAGTTAATGGGTGGGGGATGGAATCTGTGCCCATTTTTCACTTCCATCGTGTCGCCTTGTTCGTGTGTGGTCATGATGTGTCGTGTGATACGTTAGGGAGGAGATCTACGTACATAAAGTGCAGTGATGGCATGCTGAGTACCCCGGGCAATCTTCTCTACACTGCCTACGCTACTGTATTTTGTCCGCTACGGATGCTTTGTGATATGTTGCGCAATGAGTGTTTTTTTTTTTAATTATTATTATTGTAGTATCTTATTTTTTATTTTTTATTTTTATTTTTTTGACCTTTATTATTATTATTATTATTTTTCTCTTACTCTCTGAACACGGGCAAACAAAATTTGAAATGAGTGAAGAATTGCACGTTAGGGATAAATTTATAGAGAGTGTGCGTGCACTTTTGGGAAAGGCACGTCACGGAGACATAACAGCAGCAGCAACAAGGCGAAGGACGGGAAAAAATATTGAATGGATCAGTTTAAGCAGCCTCTGGAAGGCATTTTCCGCGATGGCATTCCTGCTCCCGTTCTTAGGGCCTTTGCGCCACTTTATCAGGCTCTGCCCTCGCTTCAAGATGCAGTGACGTCTAGCCGTGACTGCTACTACTGGCGCGCAAATCCGCTGAAGTGTGTGGAAGAAGATGTACAAACGGTTACATCGTTTATGCAGGCAAGCGAGGCGTCATTTCGTCTTTGTCCACAACAGAGCGCCACACTTCTGAAGTGTCACATGACAGAGCCTGCCAGAGCACTCTTCTTTTGCCGTGACGAGGAGTGGGAGTGGCGGACTTGCCTGATGGACCAAACCGGCATCCGCTTCTGGCCCTATGCTAACGCACCGGTTGGTGCTCCATGGAGCAATGGTGGACAAACAGAAGATTTTCATCTTGAGGATCGCTTCTTTTATGAGAACTTCTCATGGTGGCGACGAAAAGCTGCGATGCTTGCCGTGCGTCGCCGGGAGCTGGAAGTACAGGCTCAGAGAAAAAATTGGCTGGATGAGCAAAAGCAAGAAGAGAAGGGGAATTTAACGCAGTCGTTATTACCACCAAAACCAACCCTGGCACCCGTAGGGATCAGGATGAATACCAGTTAGTCTATTGGGTGTTATATTGTATATATTAGCGTGCATTTTTGTGTGTGTGCGCATGGAGTCCACTTACTCTCGAAAATGAAAGGACGGACAGAGGAAAAGTGTGACGCTAAAAAATGAATGACTTGTTGCTCTTGTAGACAGAGAGAGCGAGACTGAGAGAGGTGTGTGTGTGGGGTATCGTCAGTGATAAAAAAATGGGTTAGTATAGGGGGGGGAGGGGGGAATATATATTTTTTTGTATCTATTGTACCTCTCAAGTTGAAATGCATGACTTTGGGGGGAAATGGAATGAACGGGGTTGGAGCGAATTCGATGGAGTGTTTGTGTGTAAGTGTGTCTGTGGGATTTGCGCTCTTTTGGCTTTTTGTTCTGTTTGGTGTTAGGCATTTGCTTCAAGCAGAGTACGTGGAAATTCCTGTTTGGCGTTGCGGGTGGCGGGCGATGAGTGGTGCAGGCTCGGATTTTGCACTAGTGGCTCAACCGCGCGCCACCAAGCCTGCCTTCGTCACAGACGAGGTCCTGTCACCGTTTTTGCAGCCGCGGCTCCGGTTGTCTTCATCCGGCTCTGACGGCGTGCCGTCTGTTGTCCTTGTGGGTCCGTCACCGCCAACGCCGTTTTTGCTGTCGCAACGGGGGCATCTGTCAATGAGCGTCAGTAGCGCTGAGGGCGACGTCAAAATGCCTGGAAATTTGCTGCGCGACGAGGAGTCGCATTTTCGACTGTGTGAGTCTTCTGGTGTTTTGTGTGCCGTTGAGACGCGGGCTTCACGAATGGGGAATGGTGCGATGCCGGCGCAAAAATCACCCACGTGTATTAGCGGCTGCCCCCGCAGCCCCAGCACGGCCACTGGACGATGCGAGGAGGCGACGGAAGCGAGAGGCGGCCCTGGATATTTTTCTCCAACGCGGGTTTACAAGAGCAACGGTGCCGCGGCTAAAAGCTTCAACGCATGCACAAGCAAGACTAGAGGAGTTTCTCAGGTGACATTAAAAAAGAAATTGGACGAGGCTTCCGCCTCTCAGAACGGCGATCGGCTGCTAATGGAGAACGATTTGGGGTCGAAATTACGGCGGGAATCATCTGAGATTTTAGCGGGTTCTCCCGGCTTACGCCACGTGCGATCTTTTGCGGATTGCACCAACTTAAATTGCGTTTCAAACGGAGGTTTGAAGGCACCCCTCATGCCTGCTGGTATCAACAGAAGTTATCATAGCCAACAAGAAGAAAAGCGCCCCATTCAATACCGAAAAGGGAGTTCGTTTTTTTCGTCTGATGGCTTTAAACAAACGCTGCAGGCTCAGCTTTCTTCTCTCCCTTTTCCTTGTCCGTCGTCTGTCGATGTAACAGAGGGGGAGAGGCGTGAAGCGCAACAAACAAGTGTACCTCGCAACAGCAGAATGTGTGATGCCACAAAAAAACACTGGGTTTTGGACGATGACGAAGAAACCCATGGGGAGGCCGATGAAGAGCCTGTACTTCTTAGCGCTCTTATTGATCGGGGCTTGGGGAAAATGTGTGAAGAGGAAGCCGAGTTTTGGAAACACCGCTGTGCTTTGGCCGAGGAGCAGATGGCGGTAGAAAATCGAAATGTTGATCATGATGATGATGAATTCCGCTCTCGTAAGACAGCACAGACATTGCTGCAGCAACGTGCGGCTTCAACGCCAGATGGTAAGAGCCCCTCGCAACTTGAATCACTTTCTCGTTGTTTAGACGATATACGCACCCAGCGTGTAGTGTCTAAGGGAGAAATTTGCTCCGTGAGTCAGCAGGTGGAGGTGGTCAAAAAAGGGGACCAGAAGAATGAGGAAGAGGAGGAGGCATCAAATCAAATAGAAGGGCGCCGTTCTGTCGCTTCC